GCCAGCATGTTTCGCGCTCCCCAGTGGCACGGCGCCACGCAAACGCACTTCCCACCAAGGCCGCGCAAATCCCAATGGGGCTGCGACATCACGAACGTACTTTGGCCACACGGTCTGTCCACACGCTAGAAGCAAACATATCACATGATACCGCCAATGATCCCGCTCACCAGTGACACGCCGCGTTTACGCCAGCATGTTTCGCGCTCCCTAGTGGCACGACGCCACGCAAACGCACCTCCCACCAAGGCCGCGCAAATCCCAATGGCACTGTAACATCACGAACATACTTTGGCCACAGGGTCTATCCAGACACTAGAAGCTGACATATCACATGCGCGTTTCGTGCGAGACTTCCTCCAAAAGTGAAGCGGGAAGTCTCCAAAACGAGCGTTTCGTACTCCAAAAGTGAAGCGGCAAGTCTCCAAAACGCACTCTCGCCTGCATTTTGCGCCCTCGGCGCGCACGATCTCCGCAGAGGGTTGCGCCGGAACCGGACAAATCGCACTCTCGCTCGCATTTCGCGCGCTCGACACGCACGATCTCCGCAAAGGGTTGCGCCAGAACCGGACAAATCGCACTCTCGCCTGCATTTCGCGCACTCGACACGCACGATCTCCGCAGAGGGTTGCGCGCACACCGGACAAAGCGCACTCTCGCCTGCATTTCGCGCACTCGACACGCACAATCTCCGCAGAGGCTTGCGTGCGCACCGACAGAACCGCACTCTCGCCTGCATTTCGCGCACTCGACACGCACGATCTCCGCAGAGGGTTGCACGGGCATGGGACAAATCGCACTCTCGCCTGCATTTCGCGCTCTCGACGCGCACGATCTCCGCAGAGGGTTGCGCGCAAGCCGACAGAGTCGCACTCTCGCCTGCATTTCGTTCACTCGACGCGCACGATCTCCGCAGAGGGCTGCATTTTCGGTTGACGCTGTTCGTCCCACCCTCCGCCTTTAAAGAGAACTTAGAAAGTGGGGGAATGTTGCTCGTTAGGATATCTCCCGTGAAAGCTTTTCATGCTTACACTTGCATACTTACACTTGCGTGCTTACACTTGGATACTTACACTTGCATGCTTGCACTTGGGTGCTTTCACGTGCAAAACTTTCACTTGGACACTGCAGTGCCATTGTAAGTATAGAAGTGTAAGTGTTCAAGTGATTTTCCGGAAGAACCCTTCGCAGTGCTTTCGGGAAAAGCCAATATGCCCCACCACACTCTTCCCCGTGGGAGTCCTATAGAAGTCTTGATGAAGGCCTTGTTTGGCTTTTTGTCGGGACAGTATTCCCGCTGAGTATACTAGGCCAGGCTAGTTTGCTGTAAGTCATTCGCAATGTCTTGGGGTTTGGTTTGATGTTCGGTGCTGTTCCGTTGTTTGGTGCAAGTCCATTTTCCTCCAACTGGGCACATGTTCAGCCTGTGGTAACAACAGCCGTTCGAGCGTTGCTCAGGCACACACGGCAGGGCGTGGTCAACCGCGACACGATGAAGGCTCTCCTGCAGTCGCGTGGCCGGACTATTTAGATCTAGTTATAGTGAGGTTAGATGAGGTTAGTGTATTGCAGGGGCACCTTGATTTGCTTGAGGTTCCTCTTGAGCAAGCAGGGAAGCCGCAAAGGTTTGAGCTCTGCTCACCTCGATCGCATCGTCGATTCTTTTGTGGAAGAGTCTCCAGAAGCGTTGGCCGCAGAGTTGGAGGGTAGGTACCTGTTTGTTTAAGACCTGCTACGCACACTGTCATGTCCTGTGAAGGTAATGCAATAGCTATTCATACGGCATCGGAATCTGTGGGGATCCTGGAATGCTTCTTGGAAGCCGAGGACTCTGGGAGCATCAACGCGAATCAGTTCATTCAGTGGGTGTGGAGCACCCTGGCGATGCTCAGTTCTTGGGGCTTGTAGAAGAGAGAGAGAGAGAGAGAGAGAGACAGAGAGAGAGAGCACGTTCTTGGGGGTTGCAAGCTTCATCCATGTCAGATGTGGCGTGCGCGACACGGTGTGACATGTGGAAAACGATGGAAAACGTAATGCAGGAAGCTTTCGGAGATGCTGCGTTCTATTGATATTGCCCAATGTTGCATAATGAATGCTTCATTGCAAGCACCTGTGATCACTGCCATGAACTTGAACTCAGGCGGTGCAAAGTCCCGGAAATGATACGGAATCGATTTTTCAATCTGACCTGCTTCCATCGCCAGACGCTACCACGTTTGGCAGTGCTTGCATGTGTAGAGCCCAACGTAGCTTGTTTTGTAGAATTGCCTGGAAAGTGACTTTGACACATGCAACTTCATGGCATTCTCACTGACACTGTGTAGCTGCTGTGTGTTGCAAGCTACTTTGGAGAAGCCTTCACGGCCGCTGACTCAATCCTATGCTCGGTGCAATTGCGTCATGTCCGAAGATGCTGCTCAACAATTAGTTATATAGCTATGTGTATTATACATATACATATACATATGCGTATATGCATGTACACACACACACACATATATATATATATATTATATATATAGTACGCTAGTATAAACCCACCCAAAGACTTTTCAAATGGACATTGAAAGCAGCTGTAGCTGCATTGCGCACGAGCATCCTCTCAGGAGTGATGTGCTTGCCCGACAATTCAAGCTGCAAGGGTTTTCGATTGTGTTGCTACCTTGTTACAAGTGCAATGCTTTGGTTTGGTGAAGAGCCTTGTGACGAAAGCCTTACCACTCTCGGAGACCGACAAGAAGACTTACTAGACCAGTAGATGAGTAGATCGAAGAATTCAGCATGCGTTTGTGGCATGTTTCATGCTGCAGAGTAGTCAGTCTGCCTCCCTTAAGGGGGGGTAGTCTAGAACCTCAAGGAGGCAACCCAGATCGGAAAAGCCATGTGGTCGCGGAGGGCCAGTCCGGGCCAGAGAGACGTGCTGTCCACGTCATTTTTGCTCCGTCTGGCAGGAATGGAAACCGGAGGAGCCGGAGATCAACTGGGTGCCGGTACTCAAGGGTCAAGAGTGTCACATCACTCATCCCTTCTGGCCCACGGACTGATTCTAATCATTCTAATCGATTCTAAAACCAAAATAAGTCCATGCCCACCAAGGAGGCAGTGCATGATGCGGCAATGAGAGGAATCCTACCGGTGGCAGAGAGCCAGCCTTAGATGATGCCAACGAACTGAAACCTCGAGAGGCACGGAGCAGCCTGGAGCTGGTGCTATGTTGTGTCTTTCTGAAGTGATGTACTTCAGAGGTTCAATCAAACGTACCATGCCCCACCTCTTTCGTCTCACTTCATAGCTCGATCTCATTTTCTTTGATTGCCTCGGTGTGGGTCAAAAGGGGGGCCCAGTCCCAGTGGAATAACTACCAAGTACAGTTTGGTAATTGTTTTATCTTCTACTCTAGTAGAAGACCACTTTCGGGCTGTGAGCTCTTCGACCATACATATCTGACCTCATCTCATTCCAGATCACATGAGCTCTTTGTTGACCTCCTTTGTGGTCCTGTCATCCCCGGCTGGGACTTTGAGGTCCAAGAGTTCCAGACTTTAGAATGCTGCTAGGCTCTTGTCGTGCCCCCCTGACGCATCCTAAAGTCCTAAAGCATCCTAAAGCTTTGCCCTAATCAACTGCAGACGTCCACAAGCTCTCGATGTTTTCGCCTGAAGTCAGTTGTGAGGAAAGACTTCAACGCCTTCGGACCACCCACCGAGAAGGCCAACCAGTGGCTCAGTTCTGGCAGGTTCACACGGAAAATGATTCTTGGATGTCGGTCCAAACACATCACACTACCAAGTTCAATCTGTTTCAACCTGCTGAGTTCGTCGGTCTATTTTTGTGGTCGCCAGGCCATGTGGCGTCCCCGACTTGTATTTGCTCTGGAGTCTTTCCGTGTTGAGGACCTGGTTGGTTTTGCGGACTGCCGTTGATGAAACTCTCAACATGGGTCCTGAGTCTGGAAACCGAGTCAATCCGGTTTTCTTCCCTTGGTAGACCCACAGCTTTTGAAAGAACGAGTGTCGATCCATGAGGGTCTTGTAGCTTGTGGCTTGAGATTGTAGATATCGCCCAACCGGCTGGATTCACTGCGGGCATGCCTGGACCTCAGGAATGGAAGCCATGCCCAGAAGATGAATTATTTATATATAATATATACTATATTGCCTCACGTGAATCCAGTCACAAGGATCATGTTTTCTTCTAGGCTGGCCTGGTGGCCGCGCGAAGGCCGGGCTTTCAAGGGCTTTGTTCACCGGATGTACCATGACGGTGTGAACGCGACGTTTTTCCTTTCTTCCGACATTTGCGACCGCCCGGCCAGCCAATGCGCATGTTTTTCTTTGATTTTGGGCTCAGTCGGCAGATCCGACCTCCCCAATTCTTTCACTCGGGCGCGCAGCTCGGGATTGCGCAGTCCTGCAATGCCCCTTGGCAAGCACTCTGTCAACCACCCTGCCCAGACACTACTAGTAGGGGCTCCTGGCTTTACTACTGGGAGCAAGAAGCTACTAGGAGCAAAGAAGCTACTAAGCAGCTACTAGTAGCTCCTGGCCTTACGTTATCCCTCTTTGTGCCTGAGGCAGCTGCTGCTGAAAGCAGCTTTGCTGGCGTTGTCAGGCCTGACGCGTCGCACACTATGAGGCAAAGGTTGGATGATATGGTATAGACAGCACACGAAAACTCATGAGGCTAAGCTATATATATATATATATTCACATGACATACATGCTAGATGCATACGTTGGTTCGACAGCCAAAATCTTTTTGGTCAGTGCACGGTGCATCGCGGGTTGCTGAGATGAGTCTCAGGCACGGAAGTTGCAGCGCCGTGACCGCAGAAAGGGGATCCTTTGTTGACATCTTCAGTTGGGGTGAGGTCAAGCGTCCCTTTTTCGTCCATTCCGCCCATGCCTGTTTTGGCAACTCCATACCGTGAGGAGCAGCAACTGAGGCGGAGGGCATTCCAACCTTGCGAGAGGTTCTTTTGCATGAGGCGAAGCATCGATTGCAAGATTGGCTGCCTGACTACAGCATTCGCTTCTTTCTTGGTCGACTTTGTTCTTGGCTCAGGCCCCATCTCCCGTCGCAAAAGTGCATTTTGTGTGGTAAAAACGCTGGTTTGGTGCTTGGAGTCTTAGAATCATGTCGTTGACCTGGTGTTCTGTTACCATGATATGCCAGGATGGTGACGTCCCATTTTGAAATGACAGATGATGGAACTTCACTGCGGGGTTCTACGGTTCAACCACATGTATCACCCCTACCCCACCAACCTTGGTTTTGCGCAGGGAGGTGCTAGAGTGTATATTTTATATGCGAATTTCTGACACCTTCTAACTCACAGTCACTTGTAACTTGAGGACCCCGCAGGTACCTACGTAGTACTCATATACTGTATTTGGGTGGGAGAGGGGCGGGCCCAATAAATGTAACATCAGCCCTCCTACGTTGGAAGTTACATTTCTTCACGCCCTGAACATATTTTTTTTGGGGGATCTTCATGATTTTGACACTAGAGTCACTAGAGATGAGTGTGCGATTTGCATTGTTTTGTTACATATCGCAACTGCCAAGAGGTCTAGAGTCTAAAGGAAATGCAGTTTCTTTACATGTAATTCCCAGGAAGATGTAAGGTTACATTATATACAATATTGTGGTCCTCCATACTTTTGAGTAAAATTGCAAGAGGGACCTGCACAATGTAGCATTACATAATTACCAACAACATTCAATAACATTATTGTTGTGCCAAATCATGGACACGTGTAAGTAACATTTTGGGACCTCCACCCGATTTGTGGCAGATATGTTCATGTATCAAGTTTAATGGATTACGGTGAGGGTTGTTTTCCTTGGAATTTCAATATAATATTATATATATATATTTGGCTGCTCCTGAAGGACCTTCCCTATTTTCCCTCTAAGTTTTCCCTTGTGTATGATACATGTGTGTGTGTGTGTGTCTTGTTAAGTTGACACATTTAAACGACTTGACAGTTAATAAATTAGAGTTAATCAGACTCTCAGACACATACAAGTTTTGGCACCAGCCCAACATTTTTATCCGGACTGCTGGCCTCTTTTCTTTTTGCTCGAACTTCGTTTCAGACCACCGGTCGGTTTCGTTCGTCCTTGGTTGCGTTGTCCGCCGCCACTCAGGAGAAACTAAGAGGTGCACCGGACTGCTTGCTATAGATAGGAAACTTTTTTCGAGTTGAACTCTATTCTTTCCAGATGCCAGACACGTGTGCTCTAGTTGGATAGTGCCTACAGGATCTATGATCCTGTGCGAGTGCTGAAAGAAAGGTCATGCAGTTCAGCTACTGGCATATCAGGTCACCAAACACCTACGAAATTTTAACAATGGCACTGGGATACTTTCACATCACCGTACTTTTGACCCACGAATCCTAGGCTTTGAGACACATGCACAAAACACCGTGTTCACTGTGGAAAAATATGTAGTTCTTCATCATGTGACATCAAGACCGTCCAAGGACGACACCGGGGGTCCGGGCATTGTTCTTTCTATGCGGGATGTCGGTTCGTTCCCATGTCAAGTTCCTACCATCTATAATTCCTGATTCGTTTGGGCTTGACAAACGTTTGCTGAGGTTTCTCAACAACGACTGGAGACAGAAGCCACCGCCCAATGGTAGGTGACACGGCTTCAAAGGAACAGTGTTATTGGGTCGTAGCAGAACGCAGTAGCACAGCAGTGCAGCAGGACAGATGTGCAGACGTGTAGACTTGGACTTTGCATGACTGATGACACTGCTTTCATTTTCAGCGGGGCCGGTTCTTGGCTATTGCATGCTAATTAAGCTGGCTGCGATTGCTGATGATTCCAATCGGCAAGCTCTCAGGCTGGACTGGCCCAAGGAGTCTGATGGGATTCAGCTGCAGATCACAACAAATAACTACATTTGTTGCTTGGCTTTAGGGCAAATTTGCCAATGCATTCCTTGGATATTCCAGGGCTTCACCGTGCTTCACTCTTCAACCAGTCGACCTGACTTCGGAACTCAACAGAGAACCGAGGCGACGATGAAGGGAAAATTGAGCCATGGGAGGTGGGCAAGAGCAAGACATGGTGCGAAGAACCGTCTTTTTTTGTAGAACATGGAATGCTCGCGACTTGCTACGCTCCACTTTTGCTATAAGAGGGATTTGGGTTTCTGTGTTCAGCCAGAATCACAAGAGGTGTGTGGGTCCATCTTGGCGCGGTTTTTCCATGCAGATGGCGTCGGTTTGTGAGTTTTGGGTGCTCAGGGCATACAGCTTCACAACGATCATCCGCCCCCGCGGCCTGGCGTCGCCCTGCCGTGCTTGAGGAGGAAGTTGGCACGTGTTCAGAGAGAGGGGAAGCAGGTGTGTATATCTCTGTCTCTCTGTGTGTGTGTGGGGTATCATGTCATATAATGTCACACACACACACATATATATATATATACATACAGTTAGAGGACGTTAACATCAAATTGTCCTGGTTCTGTCATTCTTGCCCGTGAATGCCAGAGCATTCCGATCACTTTTGGCCGGTTCGACGTCCAGCGCCTTGCCAATACAAGCTTAGATCCAAAGCTCGCAAGAATGGCTTGTCAACCTGTTGTTTGGCACCATTTGAGGGATGCAGATGCAATAGATGTCTTCAATGCCTTGGCAGATACGAAGTCAGAGGCCCCTATCCGTTTAATGCTGTGGCTTACCTCCAGGTTTGGCAATTAGCTGCATGTCAAACGGCATGAGGACACATGATCTAGTTTATTAGCTTGATTGACTATCTAGGGCTTGCCCTACTTTCATGAATTCAGCGATGCTTTAGTACCAAACGGACAGAGGTTTAAGATGGTTTAAGCCCATGGACTGTCTTCCATGCCAAACCAGCGCCTGAAGGAGAAATGGGATGAGCTGCTGATGAATGGTCCGGGAGTTACGCACCCAAGCTGAAGCGCTGTAGCTTTGAAGCTTTACTTGCTTTACCTACTTTGCTTACTTCGCCTGTCAGGTACTTGGGAGACTTCGCCAAAGAAAAGGCGAGGGGCGCATCTGTGAGCTTCGTGGCGCGGCCCTTTCCAGATCGCCAGGCTCAGATCGGACCATGGACCATTGTGACATCGTTGACAAAGGTTCCTTTGTCAATACCTTTGGCCAGGTTTTCCAATGGATGGTTTACAATTCCACGCCCAACTATGATGATATGCCTGGAAACCCAAGTGAACTCGGTGAGCGGATGCCGGGCTTTGAGGTGATCTTGACTCAAATGTTATATAGACCATTCAGTGAGCGTCACTCAAGAACAAGGTGGGTGGTCTACTCGACTCGGCGGAATGATGTGCTGCACCATCGCGGGGTTGAAAACGAAGGCCCGGGTGTGTCCAAAGCACCTTAGTTCAATCTTTCCGTTCTAGATTCTGGACTTCTCATCAGGGTGGCCTGCGGTGCAAGCCCAAAACTGCTTGGGGTGGACTTGGTTGCAACGAGCAGAGGGAGTTTTAGTCAAGCTTTTGTGTGGATGCTTTTAGTTTTCGTTTGGATGCTGCGTAAGGGCGTATCATGTGGTCGGCCTTCCACAAGGCGGTTGCCATGCAGCTTGGCTCCAAACTCTTGTGTTAGATCGCATGGATGATGTTTTGTCTACTCTCTACACTCATTACGAAAATTCAAGTTTGACTGAGTGCTTCGGGGGATCTCCGATTGTCAGAACGACTTTAGGTCGTTTTCAGCACCATGGTGAACTCATACCCACCGTGGCCGATCACTGCGCAGCCTCTCAACCTGCAAGATCACGCAACACTCGCTACCACTCGCTCCCTTTCCATCCAGTGTCCACCTTCCATCTCAGTGGGCACCGGATTCTGCTGAACCCTAAGGTTCGTCTTCAACATAGCATGGACGAAAACCGCAGACTACATAGAGGCAAGACGCCTAAGAACACATTATAGAAGGAGCATTTGCTGATGGGTTTCCTTTCCAGCCTTGCTTTGCCTTTAGCTGATTCTGGCCACCCCTGGGCCAACATGCAAAACCCGGCAGCAGAGCCCCTGGGTCAATACTCATGGTTTTCTTTGTGCATGGGGCTCTTGACAAACCGCCGGCCGTGCCAGCACATCCGTTTGCGTGCGCAGCTTCTCAAAAAGAGGTGGGGGAACACGTGTGGCTGGTTCTTTTCACGCCTTAGCGCATTGCTTTACACACAGTGGCGTGTCGTATCATACAGCCTACCCTTGTGCCAAGACCCGGCTTTCGTGGGCAGGCGGCTTGAGTCAGGCAACAAGTATGAGCTCGCATCTTGACTGCAGGAAGGTGAAGGCCTGTTCCTCCTAAACTGCTTATATACTTCTTCTTATTCACCTCATAGGATGTTGCGGAGTTATATATATATATATACATACACACATACGCACGAATTATATATATATATCTGGATTCCCGCGCCAACCGTCGTAGAACGACAGTGTCCTGTGAGAAAGCTTCAAGCCGTAGCGCCAAGGTCGTGCCACGCTGGCTGGTTTTTGACGACTTGAAGCCCAACAAGGCCTGGTTTTAGGGGGTCATTGGCCAAGGATGTCAGGCAGCCCTGGTTTGAGGTGATCATCTCTCACCAAGCTACTCATGTTGTGTAGGTAGGCAAGGAGTGTGCTGACCAGGTTTTTGTTTCCCTATGGGTCACCATGCCCTTTTAGGCGAACCCTGAAGCCCTGTAAGCCTCACGGTTCGCCCGGTGCGAAGCTCAACTCCACTCGACCGCACAGTCTGAATCTGGAGACAACTTTGTGGCAGACAGCAAGAAGGTTATCCCACCTTTTCAAGGCGGGGGTTTTCAAGTTTCAAGTGATACGATTGTGTGTTGTTGCCTGAGTCTTAAAAGACCTTTGTCGCAACAAACATGTATTTATTTATTTTTTTGGCAGGACCTGACTACATAGCTGCCTTTTGGCATCAACATGCTTTGTGAATTGTGTTGACTGCTTCAGTTGGGAAGGTCCCAGCACGAGCATCTAGCTGAACCTAGCTGAGGACATCATTCAGACAGACTTGCTCAAGGACCTGAAAAGGCTTGCATCATCCTCTCACACATCTTTTGGTGTGTTGTTGCTTGTGGTGCCTTGCCTAAGAACGGGGATGACCTGATTCTTTTCCATTGAGATCTTCCCAGTGACACAACGATCAGACCCACCTGGTCAGTCTCAGGTGCCTGGTACCGCTGTTCTGGGCCTCGCGCTTTGGCGGGCACGTGGAAGATTGATGCTTCAAGGACTGAGGCTTGCCAGGTTGATGGCAGCTATAAAAAGCGCATTTGCATGCATTTGCAGCGTTGGCACAGTGCCACCATGATTCCACACTAAGTCACTAAGCACTTTCTCGTTTCAGGACAGGATGTAGAAATTGGAGCAAGTCCACCTTTGCTGGAGTAAATGTACCTTGCCGTTTCACCAAAAAGGGTCGAAAGGTGAGGAATTCACATTCTTTTAGCGATTTGTAGACTGATGCGCTCCTGGCATTCGCCGGAAGCATTCGCAGGTGGCAGAGGAAGTCAGTTCGAATTTACATCGGCATCATCACAGCATGAGCCGAATGAGCCCGAATGAGCCGTGAGTTCTTCACCGCATAGGGTCACAGCCATTCTAGGTCAGACCTCATTGCAGATGAGAAGCAAGACGATTTTGTAATAGGCTTTGTTTTTCATTCATTTTTCTCAATTTTTCTCATGCTTAGAGCTTCAAGACTGGCATGGTGACCACTTGTACAACACAGTTTTGTGGTGCGTCGCAGTCTGCCCAAACGTGCATGCTGTTTTCGCATGCTGGGGCAGTAGACTGCTTCTTCTTTTGTTGGCAGTAGCTCTCTACTGTCTGGGATCAGGTAAAGCTGCCACAGAAATTGTGCGGGCATGTGTTCCGGAAGCTGCATGCTGTTGGGAATCAGGGAGGCTGAACCTACCCCACACCGTCTTGAAAACGTGCACAGGGCCTGGAAAGCCTTGATGGTGATGGGTTTTCAGGGCCACAGCGGAGCCCAATGGGCGTCTTGCTGTCCCTGGCTTTTCAAAGCGCCGGTCCTGGCCGTCCCTGATCACAGCCCCAAGGAGGCTGGAATTGAGTGGCTGCGTACGCTTTGTGGTGCCCACGGGCAGACATCTTAGCAACTGCTTGCCTCAGTCGTATTGAACTTATATAAGCTTATAGCGATGGCCTCCAATCTTGAAGTGATGGCCTCCAACCGCCTCCAACCTAATAATTAGTTTTCTCATACTGTAGTTTCTCCAGCAATCCGGCAACCGGGATGATCCACCAGTGTTGGACTACTTGCATGTACGATTGCCCTGGGAGGCTCGCAACGATGATCGGACGCCCGAAGTTCCGCCTTTGGGACCGCACTGAATAGATTTGTACTGACTGTACTCGATCATTGTCACAACCAGTAGCTTCTTGTTACTAGCTACTCGCTCCTAGTAGTACGGCCAGGAGCCCCTAGTAGCGCCCTTGCTCCTAGTAGCGTCCTTGCTCCTAGCAGCCATGGGCCATAACCAGTAGCTTCAATTTTGCCAAGGGAATTCTTCTTGGAGGGCATGGAGACGCCAAAGCCAGAGACAGATAGTCGTGACTTGATCCATGCCAACTTCTGTGCTTTCCAGGAAGAGATCCTTGCTTGCCCTAAAGCATTTCATGCCTGTGAGGATAGTTGACAGACTCAATTTTTTGCAGCAAAGGACTCAAATTTTTGCGCCTGCAGCCCCCATGCCGTTGCCAGTGCTTGTTGTGACTGGCTTCCTGGGCAGTGGCAAAACCACTATGGTGAAGCAGACGCATGGCAAATAAGTCCAAAGACTGTGTGTGCATGGCTTTCAGATTGTATGGAAATTTCTCTACTCTACAGTCACCCAAGGCTCATGAAGCGCCGGAGCAACCTTCGTGTTGCTGCTGTTGCACATGACCTTGCTGCCACAATCAACGTGGATGCGGCCTTCCTCTCATCGGTGGCCGACGTGCAAAGAGGCAAAGTTGGGCAAGTGGGGTTGCACTAGTGGAAAGCCGCTTAAACCTGCTGTTCATTTTTGCTTGCATTGTGTTGGGATTGATGGTGAATCGTAAGTCATGCGGATCATGCTGGTGGAAGTACGGAGGTCTTGGCAAGGGGGAATCACTCTTCCAGCAGACCATGACAGCCTTCCGCGATGGTGACGTAGCGGCTTTGTCAGGGTGCGCTTCTCGCTGGCAGAGTCTCCGTGATTGACAAAGGTCCCGCATCGATGAAGCGTTCGTCGGCCAAGGTTTGTTGTCCGGGCTTCGATGACGCGTTGTCATTTGCGGTTCGCAGTGCGCTGACGCAAGGCGAGGTGCTGGCACTTGTGAAGGTGACAACTTGAGATGTAAAAGTGGCTATGTCACTATGTTATATTTGTATCGACCAAATCGTGTCAAGTCGTGTCCAAGCGCCTAAGAATCAAAGCAAAAGAGACTTTGTGTGTTCGGGCTTTATGGAGAGATTTTGTAACGCTAGGCCGCTGACACCTGCACTCATTCTAAGCAATCCCATGCGAATAACAGCGCAAACCCTAACCCAAAATCGTAAGCCCTAAAATAACCCTGGTACTATATAGCATGACGTTGATTTGTTTGCACAACGTTTGGACGAAAAGAGGCGCAGACACAGGGCTCTTGGACTACTTGGTGGTTGAAACCAGCGGAGCTGCCGATCCGCGAAGGATCGTTGGAGCTCTGGAGGCGTCGTTTTTCCGAGTGATGTTGACTTGTGCAAACTGCAAACTGGCGCTGCATGATTATAATATATGTGCAGCTGTGCAGCTACATGGTTCCCTCTTAGGCTTACTCAATGCAGCATGCCAAACCATTGATTTCTAGTACGTAGTCTATGTGTGCCGCTTGTGAGAAACCTGTTCCAAAGCCATAGTAGACAGCTCCTTGGTAAGTCAACCTTTTAAGGTTCGGTTTGGGCCCCTGGCACGAGTGCGCCTTGACCGAGTGGCGACTGTGGTTGATGCGGCTTGGCAAACAGACTGGCGGATACCAATGGGATTTTTGGCATCACCAGCTGGGTCAGGCCGAACGAGTGGTCGCAGAAGGCCAGCGCTGGGAACTTGCACAGGCCACCGCTTGTGCCGAAAATGCTGTTTGTCCTGGAATACCTTTAGCCTTTAATGGAAATGACGTCCATTTCCACCAATCATTCATTGATCTCCCTGAGCGGTCCTATCCTATCTCTAGTAGACACGGGTGGATTATGGGCATATGAGCCGGGAGACTTCCACGCTGGAAGATTTCCATCTCGGTGTCCAGGAGCAGCAAACCGCTGAAGAACAGCTTCAGCTGGTGCAGCTGTCGGTCGCAGATCTGGTCCTGCTGAACAAGGCCGGTATGTTGGGGACATGCGTGACATGGATTAAGTACAAGTTAGACAAACTATATAAATAGCACTCAACAATTCAAACATAACACTTAGATCCATGCTCGCAAGAGCTCTATCAGTTATGACTTCCACGTGAGGCTAGCGTGAGGCTAGCACTTTACGTTACTGAAAGCTAGACCTTGACTTGCAGAACGGCAAGAAGTGCTGGATCGGTTCAACTGAAGGTTTTAACAAGGGCTCGTTAGCACTTTACCAGTGAATTAAAAGGAGGAGTGGCCACCAGCTGTGTCTTACAAAGCGCCCAAGTGCACCACTGCAGGTACGTTTCCACAGGAAACGTGCAGCGTCTTTGTTGGTCGCTGACTGCATGAATCCCCAGCGACCCCGGTAAGCAATTATCACTATTTGCAAGGAAAGGCCTTTCTTTACCGACCATCATCATCCACTGTTACTGGTAACTGTTACTGGTAATAGGACAGACCACACACACATATATGTATATATTTTAAAATACTTAGTGTACACGTTGAAAGCACACATATAAAGCAATAAATACATAAAGTAAGTTATATAGATATAAATAAATAAAACAAAATATATATATACACATACATATTCATCACTACCACCATGTAACAGTGCGAGAGTTTTGGAAGACACATGTGGAATCATGGTAACAGTGCGAGAGTTTTGGAAGACACATGTGGAATCATGGGCTTGCGCAAATGCTTCAAGCTCGGAGCCACTCGGCTCAAACAACGGGAGAGCTAATGCCATGGACCCCACAGACCGAGCAGCGGGGCCAATCTGGCCTTTCGTCAAGACTGCAGCGCTAGCCGTTGAGCAGGCAGGTTTCAGATGAGGGCTGGTCCAAATCCCCCGTTTTCTTTTTCAGAGGATGAGAGCCCCCTTTGTCAAAAAGCTGACTGTGTAACCACGTTGTCCCGAATTGAACTGATCCAGTTGAGATGGGGAGATGTACCTGCAGAGTGGGGTGAAGACTTGGAAGGCCCTAGACCTTGCCGAAGTTGGGCCGGAAGACGTCTTGGTGGATGCAGGCTGTGGAGATGGGCAGGCGTGAAATGGGTTGATATCCGCGAGCGTGATTTACCGTGCCTTTTCCTTCCTGGATGCAAGGGTTCTTCGTAGAATTGTTCGCACTCAGGTCTGCTTAGCTGCAGCTCGGCGACTCTCGGCCTGATTAGAAATGTCCGAGTGGTTGGCTCACTGAAGGGTTTGCGGTAGAGTCTTGGGCCATGATCCTTGGCAGTGAAAATGCAGAAACTCTTGCCCCAACTTTGCCAAGGTGGTGCACGTGCTGTTGGATGGGATTTGGATGAGAATCTGGTGCAGGAGACCCGCAGACAAACGGCTCGATGGCAGATTGCGGCCCATATTCAAGCAAGGGTGCAACCGCAATCAAAAAGGATTTGGGATTACCTTGGGCTAGTTTTTGACAGTTGGCAGCTTTGAGAGAGAGCCACCGATTCCGCACTCTTGCGTTGTGGTGTGACTTCTGGCAGGAGTGTCGCCGCAAAGCCCGGGCCCAGGGCTACGAGACGCTTTGCAGCTTTGAGCGTCGAGATGCTTTGGGCTGCCAGTCGCAGAGCAGAGGCAGGAACCCTGGGGTCCCTGAGAGCAGAGACACAAGCTCGGCCCAATATGGCAGTGTTATGCGGTGTATGTGTGCCACTATGTAGAGGCCGCCATTCTGTGACAATCTTTGAACGGTCAATCTTCGTAAACGTCATACTGTTTTTCTGCTAGTAGAAAAAATTGGCAAGTCTTTAGCTGTGCCGCGTGCTGTTCCATGTGCTTTCGTTTGATCCTTCGGCTTTCGCTCTTTGAAAGGCCCAAGCCTCTACCAGTCCGAGCCAAAGGGTCCAGGACGATGGTTACCACACGGAACGACTGTACTGTTCAAGCCCCAGCCACCGCCCAATGCAGATGAACTCACTCTCCGATTTGGCAGGCTTTGGATGATAACAGTCACTTTTTGAAGTATATTTACTGTACACTCCAACTTGAGCTTAGCAATGCTTAGTATAAGCATGTATGAGCCAAGGTTTCTCTTTGCCACAGATGAAGTCCTGGAGGACGAAGTCAAGTTCTTGGAATCTTTGAGCAAGATGCCACGCCCCTCTTTGTTTCTTTCCAATGAACGTGTGCATTGACCCGAGAGAGATGGAACTGAGCACCCTGAGGAGCTTCGAGCTCGCCTCCAGGCTGTTGTACGCGAAGGGGTGAGAGTCCTGACATACAACTACAACGCACCCTGGCTGCTTTGCTGCAGCTTACCTGACAAGACTGCAAAGGCAATTCCAAAGACTGATGACCGATACCCTATGTCAGCACCGAATTAGGTCGTTGTTCAGTGTTTAGTCTACCCGACGGAGTGCAGGAGAGATGGACAAGGCCACAAGGTGTGCAGGTTGCTTTATGTCACCAAGAGAAAGGCTTTAAGGAACATGCCGTTGGCTTGCTGCCTTTGGCTTGCGCTCATGCCGTGTCCAGTGTCCAAGGCTTCCGGAACAAGCCAGCATCAGGCGTGGAGCGGTCAGGCTTTACGCCATGCCAAGAGGTATGCCTGTCAATCGAAGCCAAGAGCAAGAGGGCGGGTATGCAGCAAACAACGTGCTTCAAAGCGGCTTGCTGGAAATGGACTGAAGACCTAGCTTGCGACCGGCGACCTTGGCCTGGGAAGACCGCGAGCGCAGTGAGCGGGGTGACAAGGCATACCATAGCCGCCATAGTTGAGAACGTGAACGTGTGTGTGGTGCTGACGAAGTGATGAGTCTGGTGCTGAGTCTCACCGACTCACTGAGTCCAAAGCGAGCCAAACCATTTGGATACAACGTGCCGAGCGGCCCATGGATCTCCACGGCCGAGCGCAGCATACGGTCAACAGAACCACGTGAACATGTGGCATCACGAGGATTGAGCGCCAGTAATTCATTTTCGTGCAGATGCTCAAGAAGAGCCTGCAAGACGAGGTTCAAGCATGGCAAAAGCCGGAGAGCCTCGTATTGCTATGACATGTGTGCCCATGAGTATGGTGACTTCATGCTGGTCAGGTCAGTGAAATTTGGTGATGTAATGCGAGAGTCTGAGTCTGGCTGCTGGGACAGGTCGATCTTATCAAGGACGAAGATGTAGTGTGGGCAAAGCAGCTGCTTCAGAGGCTTTGTCCGGATGCTAAGGCACGGTATGTCTTGGTGTGGGGCTGATGGCGGCCGCATTTCTGCACCGGGAGTGGGACAAGCAAGAGACGAACTACCAATGGTAGGTCATCCATGCGACACCACACTTCAGCGGCATATTTATATTCTTACAACTTACGACTTTGCATTCATCAACTACCACCTTTGCCCATCCTCATCTCCAGATGACAAGGCTTTGAATCGTGGCAACAATATCCTGGTTACGAAAGGTAGCCCTCAGGGGGATACCATGAGCTTGTTTTGCGAAGCAAGGGTTGGGAGGTCCAGATCAAAATTTTGCTTCATCAATTCTAACTCACCATTTTGTTGAATTGATATATATACATATAATATAACATATATATAATATATAATATATAATATATAAATCTGCGGATTTCGCAACCCCCACCGGGTCTCAGTGCATCATTGAGCATCATGGGATCAATCGGATCTACGTCAATCTTTGACCGATCATTGGATCAACGGAATCGTGCCACGGATCGTCGGATAAAGCTAGCTGTTAGCACACGGACCAGCTGGAAAACCGCAGTATCGCAACATCGGAGCGGCAATACTCGAATCAGCAGAATCAGATGGTCGGATCAACGGATCATCGGTTCAATCATCGATCATTGGAGCAACACTCGGATCAGCGGGATCACTGGCTCGATCCCATCATCGGATCAATCAACTCGGCGGCGGATCAGCGGAGCATTGATCATCGGATCAACGGACCATCGGATCGATCTCGAATGCTTCAGAACCCTTGTTGGAATAACCTCATGATGGCTTCCTTGTTCTCTATATGTAAAGTGTAGCCGCTTTGGAGAGTCAGTGTAGTAGGTTGAGGAGGACACTGAGGACACTGATCAGAGCAAATTCATCTCTCACAAAAGCTTGCTTGATGTACTTTCCGTTTCACATTCGATCTTCTTTCGCTGAAGATACTAGTGACGAAGACAACCCTTTATCGACGGCCCCCTATCCAAAGTGGCTTCCAACAACAAGTACTGCTTAAAATGTTTCTTCCGTTGTTTGCATGAGCATGTCTGCGCGACAATAGGATTTCCTGGCAGGTGCTGCCCTGTCGTCACGGGGACGTCCCTGTGCCGGATCTTTTGGATGTAGAGGTGGCCGAGGCTGTGCCGACAGCAGCCATCTCTCATGAGGAGTGACCCGGGGTCGAAGAAGACCAACAATGAAGCATTGAAGATAGGAACGGCAGAACAATGCAGAACAACATATTACAAAAGCCAGCTGAAGGCTAGGCTGGCGTGCGGGTGGTGATTGCCGGGGGGTAAACTTTTGGAAGGGTGAACCCAGAGCCTGGGGAAAGCGACAAAAATTGGGTGGGCAAATTATACACACAAAAAAGAAACGGTACAGATGGTACTCTAAACCTGCTCTAAGTTTGCTTTAAACTGCTCTGAAGCTACTCTAAGCATACTCTGAAACCACTCTAAACCAACCTTTATGTGCTCTAAGCTCACTCTAGAACCACTCTTAACCACTGACTCATAACTACTCTTAACCACTCAGTCCAACTCTATTATACATTACTATATATTCAACTCAGCTGGATACCTATAAAACTTCGCTTTTCGATGAGAATCATTGCTCAAAGCCAATGGAAATAGAAAGGTGCTGCGGTCATTGCAGGACAGGTTGCAAGTAAGTGCATCCCCGAATATGGCAGAGCCAATGGAGCATTGTAGAGCTATGAGATGCTAACAATATAACGCTGTTTGTCCAAACACGCTTTCGAGACAAAACAAGTGCTCCGTATCTAAACTGCATTACTGTAGAAACATGCAGCACTGGCTTGGAGCGCTAACGTGTTCCAGTTGCCATGGTGCGTGTCAAATGCTTGTCGCTGCATTATCTGTTGACCTGCCCCCGGGTAAACGCTGGTTGATGATGAGCAGCCGTTGGGTTGATTGATGATGAGCCCTCAGTGGATGATAGGACAAATATATACATGGTTGAAGCCGAGATGTTTGGAGGCATTTGGGGTGACTACTGGGAGGATAGATGGAGGGGAGCGCTGGAAGGTAGCTATTCTGCAGCAGAGACAGGTTTGCGAACCCGTTGCTCAAAACTACTCGAACTTATTCAAAACGTTTTGAGGAGGCTTTGAGTGGCCCGTGCTACCCATCGCTCAAACTTAATCAAAATGCTTCAAGTATATAGATTATGAGGTTGGCAACAGGAAAAGCCGGGGACAGGTCAATAATGCAGTTGATGAGGTGCCTATGTTTGAAGGCATTTGCTGCTGGAAGTGTGCCAGCGATGATCCTGTCGTAAGCCAGATTCATGGTCAAAGACGCAGATTGAACCAATAAACTCCAGGAAGGTCAAGAAAGCTTCCGTGAAGGCAGCTAAGAAGGACAAGAAATCTAAATAACTGAGCGGAAAGGACATTTGACAGGCCCCCCGAAGACGCCACCATGGCCAGTTGATGATGCAAAAGATCTCGGGTCACGAATCACGAATCAGAGAGTTCTCTCTAGAGTTTGCGGTTGTGACCCTGGAACTTTGGAGTGTTTGAGACACACGTGCTCACCTATTCCATTTCCGCTCCCTTTCCCACCAAATGAAACCAATCTCCCTGACTTGTCGGCAAAGTGCTTTGGAACTGTTGCTTTAAATCAAGGATGAATTTTTGTTGGTGCTGCCCCTTTGCGCTTTGTTTGAAGGCCGTCCCAGGGCAAACATGCGCACCTCCGAAAAGCTTCCAGTGATAAGACCTAGGCAAAGCGGGACACGGCAGATGCATCTCGGAACAGTGTAAAGGGTTCTTGCGAAAGCAGTTGGCATGATCACGAAAGCTAGCCTTAGCTAGCTGGAGTTGCTCTTGCTTTAGCAAGTTAAGTGACGGGGTGGACGCACCTCAGAAACCTCAAATAATTGATTAAATCAATCTTATGGACCCCCCCCCCCCCGCCGGGGTTCGACTCCCCCCTGCGCGCGGTGAGCGGGACCACCAAGCAGCTGCAGCACACCAAGCATCTGCAGTCTACCACCAAGCAGCTGCAGCAAACCACAAAGGAGCAGCAGCAGAAGCAGCAGACCCAGAGCAGCAGCAGCAGCAGCAGCAGCAGCAGCAGCAGACCACCCAGCCCCCGACTTGTTTGGACGAGGAGGCCCGGCTAGCTTTCGTTCACCCCCTCTGGCCTCAAGTAGGTGTATCGCGCAACATGGAGTACTCTTTTGATTCCCGTGTGCAACCCCTGCCTGGCTCAAACTGGAGACTTTCAGACTCTCAAGTGAGCTGCTTGGGTCAAAAGAACGCATTGCTTTAAGCGTTTGCGAGGGCCGGCTTTCGTCCCGTTACTTCTCAGGTTATACAGTGTGGTAATGCTAGACTATGCCATACTCTTTGCCCCTTACACACAAGGATAACGTGTGTCAGTCTATGCTTGACACGGAAAGACTTTTGATCAGCACGTAATTGCTTTTCTTCCTGCGGAAGACGAGTTGATAGTTTTGATCCATAGGCCGCTTGCTTGCAGGACAATCCCACGTGCTGGAAGGCTGGGGCCATCCAAGAGCCTTGACAGATGCGGGGCATGGGGTTTACGGATGTGGTGCTGTTGGCGTTGATCCGACTGCCCTGCCCAGATGTCCAGCAGCAGCACCGAATCCAGTCGTCCAAGCCATGACAGAGGCTTCAAAGGAGTTGACATGAACATCCATCACAGAGTCGCAGTCACTTGGTCTGCAGCTTGTCGTTGGCTGTGATTTGGGTGACTGGGATGGTCAGCGCCCCTGCTCAGGAATGGTCCACCCGCGATCGGGGGTCCAAGCCAGTGAGGCTTGCTCGGTTGCAACACCTGTTCCTTGACACACTGGGATGCGAGAAGCGAAGTAGCGTTCGCAGTTTTTGGCCAAGAGGCACATCAAAGGTAATGTTTTTCTTTCGAACATATCATGGACCTGGCTAATCACTGTAAATGGATGTAAAATTGCTATTTGTTTGGAATTGAGGCTTTGCGAGAAGCTGCCGCGACTGAGACGCTGGCTGCGCCGTGGCAAGGGCTTGCTGCGGGTGGCGGAAGCTTGGGATGAGTTCTTGGGGTCAAGTCGAGCATGGCAACCTGGGGTCGTACAATGTCGTACATCTCCTGTCTTCTCCAGTGAGCCCGGTGAACATCGACCCAGAGGACGTCAAGTCACGCCAAATCCCCTTTTGTATCCGCAGCTTCCGGTCGTTTCTGTTGGAAACCGCTTGTCTGGAGAAAACACATCTATCAATTGAAGGATGTCACGGCTGACCACCTCCAGAGTGCCCCGAGGAAGATCCATCAGCGCGCTGGGATTGGGAGCTGAGTGGCCAACTGCGCTACAACCTCCGGCGTTCGGGGGGGCACTGTGCCATGGAGCACATTGGCACCTTGCATGCATTGGTTGGCCGGTTGAACCGACGGAACCCATGCTTAAGCAGGACCAACACATTTTGAGGAAATGTCTTTGAGTCTCCGTTTTGAGGACATAGGAAGTAGCTAAGATCAGATCTTGCAATCGACTCGGTGCATTTTGACTTTGCCCTTTATCGAGGTTCTGATCTTCTCAGATGGCGCCTGGGGCCTGGGACAGACATTTGTTCATTTTCAATTTTCATTTTGTTTCCTCTCGCAAGAATCTGCAATTATTGTTAAGACTATGGAAGAAGCGCCGGAATTTCTGCATTGGCCGATAACCGGGTTGCCAGACAAACATCCAAAGTACAGAACAACCGATAGGATTCATGAACAGGGGCCAACCCTGTTCTCCACTCCTATCTTCCCATATCTCCACCACCACCACCACCACCACCACCACCACCACCACCACCACCACCACCACCACCACCACCACCACCTTGTGTAGCACCAGACTGCAGACATGTATTTTTTCCACTTTGGGCCTGGAGGCGTCCCAGAGGACAAATTCCAAGAGGTGCTCTCAGCTTTGGACCAGCTGACTGAGCCGCAGCCTGGGCACCCGCGAAAGGTGCGCACAGAGGGGCCGGGGTCATGCGGTTGCTCAGCTATTTTTGGGTAGTTTTGGTTGGGCAATTGCCCAGATGCTTAATGCATCAGATGTGACATGCCAGGGAGCCGGGCATTTCCATCCTTTTAATTTGACTTTGTGGCTCCTCAAAGCCAACCCAGACGAACAAACTAATGGATGGGCGGCTACTACGCAGTCTTGGAGAAGATGCATTTCTTGGAAGCGAGTGCTACAGTATGCTTTGGAGTTTGCCAGGACCTTGCTAATGAATTGTCGAATGGCAAGCCAGCTTTTGAAATACTGGACGCCCCAGATGGTGCTGAAGATGCTTGCTTGCGCTTCCGCCTAACAGGAGGGACATACTCTGCGTGATGATTGTTTTGCTTGTAGATTATGTTGGTAACACTCGTAGGAAGGCACGAAAGGCTTTGAGGGTGGTTCTCTGACTGCAAAAAAACAGCAGGCCGGGAGCATTTCAAGTTGCCCCTTGACCTGGACTTAGCTGAGCACCCGTACCGAAGCTTGGCCTCATTGACTGGCCGGACAACGGGTGGAAGTGCTACGGCCGCACGCCATGAGGCATTGATTTGAACTCTTTGAATGCAGAGCTGGCGCAGCTGGTGAACTCTCAGAAAGGCCCTGCCTTCTTGGGTACAGGCCAGGACACTGACCTCGGCCAAGTTCGACCTTTCTCTCTTGCGAGTTGCTCCCAGAGTTTTGATCCACCATTTGATCCTTGCAGGAGATGGCATTTGCCCCGCCTCCCGGTAGCATGGTGAAGAAGGCGCTGTGTAATGTCATTGATGCACATCTCAAGGTCACCAAAGGCAATGTGCTGGCATTGCTGTGGCCGCTGGACCTACCTGCAGTGGAGGCCGAAATCGGCGGCTTGGCATGAGACGACTTCAGAAGTTGTGTGGAGACTATTTCAGAAAGGTTAATTGGCTTTATGTCCGATTTGAACATTCATTTGGCTTTCCCTGCTTTTGGCCTAGGCGTTCCACAAGCCGATAGCTTTTCAGCCACTATGGCAGCTGCCAGGGGGGGAAGCGCCCGAGCTTCTGACACGACACTTCAGCCATGTGAGCGGTTGCCACTGCGGACAGTAAGAAGTGAAGCAGCGGCGCAAAGAACCAAAGAGTGGAGATGTTTCACAATTCCATCACATCCTTGGTGGCCCGATAGGCTCAAAGAAGACACGGCTTATTTTCATGGAAGCCAGGTTGGAATCAGGCGAGGTCACCTTCGACAATTTTGATGAACTTTGCATGGACCGCCGGGAGACCAAGAACCAGATTTGCTGGAATCCGGAGGTGCATGGAGAAGGGCAATTGGAGTGATGGTGAGTGCTTCAGCTGCCTCCTGACATTTTTGGCCCAAAGGGTTGCCAGGCCCTTCTAAATCATGCTGGCTTGTAGTTGATCAGCTGCGGCCTCCGGCAGAGCCAGTCGCTTTCCTGCGCTCAAAAATAGAGGAGCCCGAAGTGGCGAAGCGGCTGGCAGGAATTTCTCTCTCACGTTTGTTCCTGCACGGCAAGTGTCTTCTTGCAGCACTCATGCTCGTGATGCTCACGAAGTATCACATGCGACGGCCAGTTGTGACGTTTGATTAGATAGTGTGATGTTTTCGTGGGCTGGGCGATGCCTGCCGCAGTTGGTTTGGAAAGCGTTCACTGAGATCAAGAATGGAGCAACAAGGAATATTTGGACGGTTGAGTGCACAATTTGCTTTCCAAATTCGTATAGGTTTTGTGGAACAATATTCCGACATGGATTGCCGGGACGTGTTTTGCTCCGGTTACCCGGTTTGTCTTGCACCACTGAGCAGTACGGAAACATATGTCACTTGCGAACAGGAAAGTCCACATCCGTCCCAGATCTCCAATGTCAGGAGCTCATGTCGGAGGCTTCTGCAAGGAGGCTGTCCCGCCAGGCCGGAAAAAGGTTGGGACTACCTTGATGGGCACGGTCTTCAAGGGTGCCGAAGGATTGTCCAACAGGGCAGAGGTAGAGGATTAAAACTGGATGGTGGCTTCATGGGATATTTATATAGACATTGTCATGGTTCTTTTTCGCCTACAGCGAATGGGCATAGTCATGCCGTCACAACTATCTAACGCGTACCGATGTGTAGCGTACTTTCCAGTGCTTGAGGCAGTGCTTGAGTGGAACATTGTGATGTCCCTTTAGTTGTAGCGCGACGGGGTGAGCAGTCCGTGTCTTTGTTGCGGCATCTTTTCAGTGCATGCGCAGGAGGAGGACGCTGATGGCGACAACTCGCCTATTAGGCCGAAGCCTCTGAAAGGATGAGTCTGAATAGGTAGTGTTAACTGCTGACAATTTAATATGAATCAACAATCAACATTATGAGTTGCGGCAATGTAGAGTTGTTGAAGGCAAAGCTCTGTGGCTCCAGGCAACGTGCCAACAGTGTCATGCAGACCATGTACGTTGCGCATCTAAAACCTCGGCCGCCCGCGCCTGAGGAGCCAAATCCTCCATTGAACATCTGCAAGTTCTAATTCATTATGGTTGATTTGAACTCTTGCTAGAAGAAGAACATTGTGCACTAAACAGTTCACCTTGGACCACCTTGGTTCTGCAGTTTTTGCAACCTTTCCCATCTGTTCATGATTGTCCGAGGTCCATTGCAGAGAGCGAAGAACAGAAGCGGGGCCCCATGCGATCTCTAGGAAGTTCTGCGACTTGGCAGGTCTTCACGGACGCCTCTAAGTGGAGGTTCACACTGCACACCACAGAGGGAAGATGCAGCCGGTACACACCCGAGACAAGGGCGAATCGCTGACTCCGAATCCGTTTCCGAGTTCTGTGACGTGATTACTCACAAGATGTACATTGCGTGCCTGCAGACCTTGGATTAACCTATGTAAGCAGCGTGGAGAAGAGACATACAGTCTCACAAAAGCATCCCTTATTGTTGGACAGGCATATATAGATTGCTTGACATTTCCACAGGGTGGGAAGATGCTCTTCCTATCCCTGCAGGACGAGACGACTCAAGTCCGAAGACCTTGGCAGTTTCCTTCGGACTTGAGTCGTCTCGCAAAGTCACTGACGACGGCAGACACATCAAATGGAACCACCTGGAATCGATTGTCCGCATCGGATCCTCCGCTGCCGGTGCCACGGTTCAGGTAACGGCTTTGGAAAACTTTGCTTCAAAGGAGCTTCTGGAAAGAGTGCCGCTTTACAGCGGGTGCTCTCCAAAGTTCTTGGAGGCAAAGGGACGCTTTCCACGCTGAGGGTTGGCTGTTTTCTGATTTTACCATGATCCTTTTGAATGCTGAGAAACGGTCCTCATTTGCCCTTGCGTGCTTCCGCCCAAATCAGGCATTAGCACTGAAGCTCCATTCACGGCTAGTGGAAGCAGGCACAGACATTATAATTGAAGGTGAGGTGGGTGACCTGGCTTTGATGTATGTGATTTACGTTAAGTTAATTTTTATTTTTGGTTTTGAACATGTTTGAGATGGATATTCTTGAGACAACGTGCTGAGTGTACTAGCTGGTGTTTTGGTTGTGAGGTGATTCCATGTGCGTTTTGAGCCGTGGAGACGTCAATTTGATGAGGGACGGGGCGGTATTAGAGAAGCAAGAGGACTGAATGGAACATAATCTGCAGAGTGATCGCTGTGTGTGCGTAGAAAAGCAGCTGGCGAATGCCTTTTCATGCATCATTATATTTGAAGGCTTGAGTCAGCTTGAGTATTTCACTGGTCTATCTATACAAATCCTTCGCCAAACTCACAACGCTCAGTCCTCCGACCCGGAGGTTTGTTTAGGGACAGGGGTTGCTGGTGATGGCAGGACGGTGCTATTTTTGGGGAGATGTCATCCTTTTCCAGAAATCCAGCAGCTCCTCAACTTGATCAAGTGACATGCCGCGCTCGCAAGTTTGTTCTTCACTCACTTTTCAAGAAATGATAGACATAAATGACTTGCTCATGATTATATAGATTCATGACTCCATACCTAAATGCATTTGGTCGCTCGTTGGAAGCTCATTGTGTGGCTTCGACTGCGCACTGAGTTGACCAGTCGCTGGTGGACTGTTCGGGCTTCCTCGTTGTGTGATGTGAAGATCCTCTACCGTGAGGATGTGCTGCAGGCGGTTTGAGCTAATGGAGGGCACAGACGAAGTGCATGCACAAAGAGGGCATGCCACATCCACTCTCATTTATGCTTTGGGCTCTGGTGTGTCATACCCGCAGGCTCCAAATCCACGAACGCAATCATTAATCAAATGAAGCCAACTTGCTATGTTGGTTGATTTTGACCCAGTGATTGAGTCACTATCCTCTAGAGTTCTAGAGGAGGGGTGATGTAGTTCCACCGGCATCAAAAACACTTGCGTAGTTTGTAAGCTGCCATATGGAGACGCAGACAAAACCCAAGAACAACAGTGTCGTTGCTGCGATGCTTCGCTAGGTCCTGGCTCATTTTAAAGATGATGATTCTTGGGCCGAATTTATGCAGGTTCTATGTAGTCGGTAGGATCGTGTTTGAGGCCTTTCGCGGGGTGGAATCATTTTGCCCACATTTGCCCTCCGGTGGCACCTGATCGTCCGAGACAGATCTTTTGTTTTGTTATGGGAGGTTGCTGCGCGCTCATGCGCATGCGATACAACGCCGCAAAAAACACGGCACACGGCATTGTTCCTAACAGTGGTATTTTCATTTCACCGTAATTTGCAATGTTTATTCCCCAAACAGTTTACTGTTAGGGGTTCTCAATGCTTTAAAGAATGGTCGCCTTGGTGCTGGATGGTCTGGTCGGGTTCCCGGCCGGCTTGTCTCCCACTTCCTTTCATTTGTCTCCCAGCTCTTTTCATTTGTCTCCCAGGCTGGGTGCTTGTGGTCGGGTTCCCGG